TGAAGAATTTCCCTTCCTCCCATGACTCTCATATGTGGATTACTCATGAGTAATCCACCAGTAACCCACTTTGATAACTCACTTTGACCTGTGCAGAGGGTTGTTATAATAAGCTTGGGTCTCTTCAGGTGTTATGGCTATAACAGATTAAGGAGATTGGACCCTAATTACCATTAAGAATGAATTCTACTGACAATTTCTAGGTGCAAGGAGTTATTAACTCTTTACAGCCAAGTTAACTCAGATGATCTATATCCATGTTAACGGCTCTTCAGTTAGCCTGTGTTGGGTAAGAGTGGTCCTGTTATAATGGAATAATTGTATTAGCTGCTGATGACCTGTGCTGTAGCTTCTATAATTCCTAATGTGCAAGTCAGCTTGAGCTAAGGGTGTTCCACACTAGAGGTATAACTAGGGACCTGCCTAAATCGTGGTTTCGCAGATTGCATGGAAACTGTTAAAAACTGTTGTCCACAATCGCCAGGAAATCTGGCATTGGCTGTGATTTCCCATGGAATCAACCAAAAAAAGAAGAAGTGGAAGTGAGGTAGACTGAAGGCACCCTCCGCCAATCAGTGGTGACAGGTGGGACAAATGAAACAGTAGTAAGGTAAACTGAGTGAAGTTTACTTCTGCTAATCAACAACAAGAGGCCACCGGGGCCCCTCTACCAATCAGCAGTGAGGGGCAGGGATGCTGCAAAATGCCTTACGAAATTGGCTCTGCGTGCCATGAGTGGGCCACAAAAAACCTGTTGTCTTGCTGCAACTTAGGTAGGTTCCTAGTTATAACTCAGATTTATTCTACAAGGAGTACAAACCTACCACATTCTCAGAGGGAATGGCAGAGTGGGCATATTGCATGCGTTGTAGAGTACGTATCTGTGTAGGTTACCCTGGGGTTAAAGTGAGTTTGCCTGTTGTCATGATCTCCCCATGTAACACAAAGGTTAAAATTGAAATAAAGGTTTGATGCTTGTTGGTTCCTCCCGGTGGTTTCCTGAAACCCCTCTTCCTTCAGAAGGAAAAAAAAAATCTGGAGTTCTGCAGGGAGGAAAACTAGAACTGCAAGCAGTGAGCATCTAGAACTGGCAAAGATTACGTGGATTTTGGATATAAAGCAGAGGCTTCTGCCTAGGGAAGGAGGGTGCTTCTCCATCCAGCTAAAGCATCAAAGGATGGCAAAGGCAGTGTTTCTGTCCTGATCTGTAAGTCGGACGTAGCTTGTTAACCACTGCTCTTTGTGCTTTACATGTTGTATGAAACAGATCAGTGACAGCGCAAAGAAGGATTTGAAAGAAGGCCTGATGCTTTACAATACAGATGATAATGTTGGACTAAAGAATGCATGGAATATCATTCAAGCAGAGGTAATGAGTTGCCTTTATTTGTTAAAAAGAAAGATAAATAGCAGCGTATCACTTGATCTGTTACCTGTAATGGCCATGCTTCACCCCAGAGGTGACAAGTATGCATTTTGATACCTGTTTACGGGTTTTATATTACTTTGCATTATACTGTGGAACGGGAAGTGCTTTATAAATGTAAAATGATGTGGTTTCTGAGAGCCAGGGGGCCAAGCAATGTGACAGGAACCTCAGTAGACGTTTATTTGGCAGGCAGAGCAGAAATGTGACAGTCCACCACTACAGGGGCTTTTTCTGAGCTTCAGTGGTCAGGAGCAAGTTATGTAATGTTTTAGCACCTAGGTTGGTGCCTCCAAAATGGGCACAATAAAGCTTAACCTCTGGACTGTGTATGAGGTGTGTTAAATGGTTGTGAGCACTTTTTCTTATCTCTGGAGAGGTGCAAAGAATGATGTGCACATGTAAAAAATGTAGTAAGTTAACTTATTCTAATGTTTCTTGTTTATGGGCTTCTCCCACAGATGCAGTGCTGTGGTGTTAATAATTTTACTGATTGGTACCCAGTGCTGGGGGACAACACTGTTCCAGACCGATGCTGTACAGAAAATTCCCAAGGCTGTGGGCGAAATTCTACTAATTTACTGTGGAAGACGGTAATACTCATATTTAACGTGGGGTGGGGGGTTCCCTTAAATGGACATATGAACCATATGTGATGCAGACTTTCTTTTTGTTTCAGGGCTGTTATGAGAAAGTTATGATGTGGTTTGATGATAACAAGCATGTTCTTGGGACAGTGGGGATGTGTATCCTTATCATGCAGGTAATGCCACTACTATATACTTCTGCATAATCTTGAATTAACTAGTACTGTTGTTATTTTTATTACACCAAGATCTGTTGCTTGGCACCATATAAACTGAATCACAAAGGTCCCTGACTGATTTTAAAAGCTAGGAATGTAGAAAAGAGCATATGGTTTTGCTGGATTCTTGGGGTGCCTGTACATGAACCATGAGGATGCTCTGACACACTGTAATCACAGCGTATCAGAGCATGGTAATTACTGTGCCCCAGCCAGTCTGCATGTCTTGTGTATCAGTGCCCCTGTGCTTCAAAATGGTGACGGGGGCACTTTAAAGCTCATTCAGTGAGCTTTAGGTAAAGCACCCCCGCTGCCATTTTGAAGTGCGGGGATGCTGATACACAAGATGCTCTGGGTGCTTTAATTAGATCGGCTCTTGGAGCCACTCTAATTAAAGCCCTTTCCCTCCCCACCCCAGAGCTCATGGAAAAATTCCCTTAAATTTTAGCAGCTTCATTCTTCTTATTAGAGAATAGGCCTTGGCTATCTCATTCTTATGTCATTGAATCATCAAGTGACAAATTCAGAATTTGGAGAATAGTGGGGACTGGCATTTTTTAACCTTTCATGTGCCACCTCATTAAGATCATGGATGGCTATTTTCTTCTGGCAAAACTCAATCTTTCCACTAAAAAAATAGTAGTTACAATACTTCCTATACTGCTAAAGATTGCAATGTAATTAATGCTGCTTTCCACCCTCTCATAACTTTGACCCAGTTACCACTCAAATAGCATGCTGAAAAGGGCGGTGGATGAACACCTCCCTGAAGGGATTGATGAATGCCACTAGCACTTAATCTTATATTCTGCCCCCAAATTTTTTCCTAAGTACTGAGTGGAAAAATATTCAGCTGCTTCTATCAAATATATATATA